ATGGAATGGAAAAACAGAAATTTATATTTCTTAACACATGATGTGCCTGTTTTTTTTGAAAAAATTACTACTATTAATGTTAAAGATATGCAATAATACAAGGTAGATCTTTAAGGCTAATTTATACTGTACATATAATCTTTTCAAATATATATATAGTACTATTCTTATTTGTTATACGCATATGTATAAAAAAATATTTCTATAATATATATTAATTTGGTAAGTGCGAAGTTTATTATTTTTTAAGCCTTTAATTATTTTAAGTATAAAAGATAATATCGATAGTCAACTTAAGTTGATAATTTAATTTAATAAATCTTGACATTAAACATCAAAAGATAGTAGCTTAGTTGGTATTAAAGTAATAAATAAAAAGAAATTAATAACTAAATATTCTAAATTCTCAAAATAGGAAATAGTGGGCATCTGCGTGCTATTTTGCTATTTCAAATATGCATATTAAGGTTTATTTAATAAATTAAACTATACATGTTGCAGATTTTTTACATTATATACAATTTAATTATTATATTATTATATATATTAAATAAATCAATTTAATTTTCGCATTATTCATATTAAGCTAAATGATTCAACTCATTATCAAGACGCCGAATTACTTTGAAACTTTCACAAAATGTTTATGAAATGTCTAAGAATAAACTAATTTTTTTTGGCGTGCCAGACACTCTACCAACATAATATTGTAATACGGCATTTGCATATATATGAGAATGGCTGGCATGCATATTCATATTATAAGGATTTTCCAAAAGATTAATTGTTCGAAGGCATGTGTATAAGATTGAAAGATGAGTTACATGTTTATTTTCTAAAAAAAATGAATAAGACATTAGAAAAATTTTAATAATGATATCATATATCAATTTATAAATTTACATTATAAATACTCACCACCATATAATTCTGCTTCACCAAGTCGGTTCCATAATTCAACCTCTAACAATCTTTCATCTATGCTTATATTAATATAATCACAAAAAATATCTTATTCCAAAAATCTTCATTTGTCAGCCTCGCCACCTTTTTATTTAATTCATTAGTCAGGACTTTTTTGGCTTCTCAATATATGTTTAATTATCTATTAACCAATTTAAACCCTTCACAATAGTGCTACCAGCTTTAGGTATTCATTGAATGAGGAGATTATTAACAGAAGTAAACTTACATGTAATGCATTTAGACGGAATTCATGATAAGAGAATGAAGTAATAATAAAATAAATCTTCAATTTATATTAGTACGAATATAATTCTATAACTCTATAACACAGTACCAATAAGAAGACGAAAAACAGAATTATAAAAATAATCAGAATTGAAAGTAGCATAACGGTCTTTAAATTTCTGAATCTAACAGGAAACCAGCTACAGAATTCAGCATATTAATTCTCATCTCTCCATATTTATCATACACTTGATATTTTTTTGGATCGCCCAAGATTTCATAAGTATGAGTAATTGCCTTGAACTCTTTTAATAAAAGATAAAATATATTAAAAATATAGCATATTGTTACATAAGTTAAAAAATAAAATACTATAAAATATTTTTAACATATTTACTAAGTAGTAAAATCTTTAATACCTTAGTCCTAGAGGTGCAGGTGAATCGTCCCAATAATGCTATAACTTTTCTGTAGCATGCCACAACTCTATTAAATAATTATAAAAAGTTACAGCAAACATGCTATAACTTTTTATAATTGTTTAATATAGTTGTGGCATGCTATGGAAAAGTTACGGCATTATTGAGACGATTCACTTGCATCTCTATTTAGTTCTAATAAGTAAAAGATTAATAAAGTACAACCTGAACAGTAGCATTTGGATTTTTATCTGGATATATTTTAGTGCTAGGCTCTACACCCAAAGTATGATATAAAACATAAGTATCCTGCTTCATATTGCCAAAAATTTGATGTTTTGCATACAAAGCGACACAAGTTTTTATTATTAAGAAGATATGAGGAACAGATGCCTATTATAGAAACTTTGCAGCTATATTTCTTAATTCCAAATTCTGCGTATTACCTTACCAGATTTAACTTTAAAGGATCTTTAAGAGTCAAAGACAATAAGTTAATATTCAGAATTTCTCATATTTATAATCACAGACCAATAACACTTTCAATCAGTTCACTTATTAGATAAGATCCTTTACTTATATCTATCAGAATTTGTACCATCATCATCATCATCCTCTTCATTTGAAAAATTGAGTACACTTTCATGTAGTTGTAATTCACCATTTTCCTCACATAACATTCCGTAATTCGTGGCATTATAGTATCACATTCACGTAATAATTCATCTATAGATTCGTCCATGTGTACAATTATGAATTCGCCATTTCAAAGAATGGGAAATATTAGTATTATTGGTATTATTAAAAGTTTTTTTTTCTTTAAGACACAAAAATGAATAATGAATTCGATCTACCTATTGTTCATTTTTTCAACTTTCGATACCTGTATAAAACATATCAAAAATTATATTGGAATCTAATAAATTTCATTGGCACTTATAGATTAATTTGAAGAAGCATGCTTATACTCTCTATTTTTAATAAATTCTATAATAATTTCTTTACCCGATTGTAATTGTAGTTCTTTGTTGTACACCGATGTTTGCCTGGTTTTCTTAATCTGTTTCTCCTGTTTGATTTTATCATGTTTCAGAATTAAACAAAGAAACACTATTGGTTTTTGGTTACTATATTGGCAACCAAACGAGGTTATTTTTCAGAGTTTGAAAAATTAGTACTAGTGACTTGATTTGATTAGATAAGTAAATTATATAAAATATAAGACCTTTTAAACAAAACACAATTTTTTCAATAAAGAGATTCATAGATTCTTTGTTCTGATAATTTTTTGATAAAGCATTGAGGATTTGTGTCATGTATCACTATTGCGCTATGTGAATTTATACTTATAATGAATTACTTATTTAAATTTAATAAAAGGGTGTTCGAACTTTTAAATTTAATAAAAAGGTGTTTGAACTTATTTAAAAAAGTGTATTCTTATTTAAAGTAAAATTGAGTGATATTAAACTGAATAAAAAGATAGCCAGCACCTGATATATGATTTGCTGCATTTATAATTTCTTTACATCCCTATTGAATTTCTAAATATTTAGTTTTTTTATTTTCTGGTCCATTTAAAATTACACAGATTTGTTAGTTGTTTTCATATTCTCGAACCACCACTTTTCATCTCCAAAAATTTGTTCTAACCTTTCATAGCCATTAGTTCCCGTAAAGACACATTGATACTATCCACAGCTTGGTGAATATTGGTTAATATATCCATTAAATACACCAATAAATTGACTTTCTAGACATGGAAATGAGACTAATTGTTGTCCTACATCTCGTATACTAGTTTTTAATTTGGTTTGTATCATATGAACTAGCAGGCTTTTAAATTCAATAATTGCTTCTGGTGGTTGTGGAATAAGTTCAGCTTGTGGTGTACTATAATGTGAATGAGCTATTGTTTCATGACGATTTAAACCTTTTTGGGTATTGTAGCTTTTTTTAGAACATAGTTTGCAAAATACACATGTGGGATCAAAAGTGAGTTTTTGAATAGAGTTATTGTCCTTAACTTGATGAGTTCTTTGCCAATGTAATTGTAAACCTCTATTGCTTTTAAAAGT